GTTTTTGTTTTGAGAACTCTCTTGTTCTAAGCTTCTCGCTTGCTCTCTTCTCTGTGATGAAATAACTGCTCTAGCCACGTGGCAACATTGTCTCTGTCCTGCATTGCTAAAGTAGACTCCTCAGTTCAACTAATGAAAGAGCAAATCAAATAGGGCATGCGTTCACCCTTGGTCCTCATGCTTTAGGAGGAGGACAGTCAGGGACATGCCAAAAGGGCAGGGTCCAGAGAAAAGCAGGTGTATACCAAATGGATACTTCTAAAATAGTACTTCCTTTAGGTGAACCAGTGGTCTGGTCTTAATGAATTCATGATTTGCTTCTTAAGTGAAAGTGTAGACGTGCAGGAGAAATGCATATATTTAATTCCAGACCTCTTCATTTTAAATCTCACTGAGTAACAAAGCAGAGGAAGGAGATACTTTTATTTCTAGGAGAAAAAAACTTGTCGGTGTTGCCTATGTGTTTGAAAATACTTTGTGCTTTGTGGCTGGAGTTTTTAATCTCCATGTTTCAATATATAGTGTAATATATGACCTCAACGTTTAGTAAGAAGCTGGATGTCATATGATGCCATCATGATCAGTAAGAAGTGTCTAATTTCTCTAAGACACCTCATGTTCTCTGGAGAAACTCACTTGGATGTAAGAGGAAGTAAATCCTTTGCAATGTATCTGTGCAGTTTTTATCAAAAGCGGTGCATGATTTCACTGTCTCTGACAGAGGTGAGGAGAAGTTGTCTTCCTTGCCGCCTCCCACCTTGGTAGACTGTGATTCTGCATAGAGAGGTTTTTATCTCTGTGTGGGTGCGGTGTCAGATATTTTTCCATCCTTTCAATGGGAATAGCAGTGAGATCGATCACTGCACAGCGAGCCATGCCAAAGGGAAGAAAGGGCGTCCGGGATTGGACCACAGATCGCCTCTGAGGACTTCCTACCACTGCTTATTAATTGGGTGTTGACAGTGTGTGTACCTCTCCGTTAAGCAAGCGAGAAGAAACAGATTCAGCTTTCATAGTTGAAGGTCTGAGGTGGGCAGTGCAGGGTGGGTTGCAATCGCCGAGGGTGAGAACTACGACTCAGAGCCTCAGCTTCTTCTCCTGCCTGGTGTCATTTCTTGCAGCGCAACTACTAATGAGGATCTGATGATTCAGTAGCACTGAGAGGTATGGAATTCAGAAGGGTTTTGACAGAGGAAAGGAACACATTCTGGGGGAAATTGATCATTTTCTTTTAATGGTTTCATCTAAATCTTCTATTTGTACTCTCAAGGCAGTTATCTAGAGTAATTGGCTCTTATGCACAGGAAGGAATTCACTTTACTCCTCGGAAAAATCTGTGGTTCTTCAGTGTAAAAGCAGACTCGTGACCAGAAGCTAGGGAAGCAGATTGAGTAAAGGTCTGATTGCGCCTTCAGGATGGCGCTGCACCCTCCAAATGCCAACCTGTGTCCCAGCGGGGTGATCTCCTCTGTTAACCAGGGGCTTTGTCGCCTTTGATCACTGGGCAGGGATTCCACACACAGTCTCAGGTGACCTGGGTGCTGTCTATAAGCAAACTAAAATGTGAAAAAAGATCTTGAAAACTCGAGATAACCTTTAATCCTTAGATTCATTTGGGGCCAGATAGTTTAAGAAGGTGGTACCCGCACATTGTGGTGAGTAACATTAATTCAGTAAGAGGAGCTGAGTTTTTTAATAGGAACTGTTTAATAGGAACTGTTTCTTGGAGCATGTATTAGCATGGAACAGAACTAATTGTGCCTGTTTTTCTGAATTCCTGACAGTGAAATTGCATGAGGAAGAAGGATAATAGACTTATGATACAGGACATGGGAGTCAAGGTGAAACAAAATTGATTACTGGCAGATACAGTGGAGTGAATGTCACAGCTAAAAATACGAACTATGAATTTTGAGTTTCTAAAATAGAATATTTGTAACCATTAGGTAGTAGCATATTACTTCCAAATCTTTTTCTTTATGGCAAAATAGTTTTTCTTATATATTGATATAGAAATTTGATGTGATTTCTTTTATAAATCAACTATGCATCTTATAAAAAAATCAAACGATTCACAAGTGATTCACAACTGATTTCTTCCATGAAAACAATTTTGGCTGAGATTTTTTTTCCTTTTGGCTCAAAAATTGTATATTTTTTGTGTATATAACATATGTGGCTGATGTATAACTTCGCATAGTTTTATGGCTGTCTTTTCTATACATCTCATCTCAATAAAGAGAGATACCATTGCACTCCTGACAGAGGACAAATTTAGTTCATAGATTTTAAGTATCCAACCTTACTCTCACTTATATATGACCAGCCAATTTCAGGCCATTTGCTTGATCCTTCCTATGATAAAAATATTCTGGCCAGAGGAAGTGTTGTGGGATTTGAGCCGGGGCTGGTTGTGAATTGACTGTTAGGGATGTCAATCCAAAGACTGCACGGCGTAGCAGAGTGGCCCTTGGGACTTGGAGCACTTTGGATTCGTTCTCCAAAAGCATCTATAATGAACAGAGTTATTTTGAAAGCATTCCCTGCAGTTCATGTCTTAATTCCATCCTCTGAGAATAGGAAAGCAGATCTCGTTCCATGCACCACTAACTGGGATTTTGGTGGTATTATGCACAAACCTCTCATTTATTTTTACAGTGATAGAGTGGTTTGTGAGCCAAGTTCTGCAGGCGTTTGGGGGAGAAAGAAAAGGTTTTAGGTGGCTCCAGATTCTTTAACTGACAGTTGGTGTTTTTTATTTTCTTGTTCTCTGAAATGAAAACGCTCACAGTGAACTCTGCACACCTTAGCAGGGCAATGCAATTCTTGGCCACTTGACTCATTTTGGCAGAAAGCGTTTGATCCCAGAATGTTTTTGCTTGTGCCACTTGCCTTTGTATTCTGTTGCCTGAATTCTGAGAGTTGCTTATCCATGTTTTTCCCTTTTTTTTATTTCTGCGAAACAGAAAATTGTAAGAAAGGAAATCAGCTGTACAGGGGAGCTAAGCTGTAAGACCTAGCAACTTTAATCACGAACAGCTGTGTTGGCATTTGCTTCACCTGTTCTTACTAACACCCTCCTTTCCTAGAGGGAGAAATTGATCAGAAAGGCATTCTGATTTCAGAAGCTTCTGATAGTTCTCAGATATACATGTGGTAAGTTATTCGATAGAAATGAGGTCATAAACTTAAGGCTGATTTTTGTTCAAGATATGTGTACAAGAAAGTGTAAGTGATTTAGCTTCTTTCAAATAAAAAACACTTTTAACTTACAATCTTACCTATTTTTGTTGTAAATTATTAACTTTGACCTTCAGTGTTTGCTCTGAAGAGATAAGTTGTTTTTAAGATACATTTTACCTCAAGCAAAATACTCACTGACTTATAATGAAAGCAGTGACACTCTCTGCAAGAAACCTCCATAGATGAAGATGCCTAAATAACAGCAGTTTTTCATCATGGGGAATTATTTTCCTGATATGGAATGAAATTCCATCAGATTGCTTACTTTGGGATTATACTTTCATGATTTAATATTAATTCCAAGAGACAGTTTCCCTATAGGAAGCACCAAACATTTCTCTTCGTTACTTAGCTGAACTAGACCCATATCAACTGTTCTAACAATTTAGTGAGTAGAGAGATTTATAACAGTTAAAAACAGTAACAATGAAGGTAGATTTTGTTTCCTAGGAAGACTCAATTTGGGAGGAAATTTTACTACTTTGGGATTTTAAATGATTTTCTATGTATATGTGTGTGTAAGTGCATAAACATATATAAACATATATGCACACATATAAGGTAATCTGGAGAGCTCTGACACAGTGAAGAAACTAGATGTCAGTATGTGTAAAATGTCTTCTAAGTCAAAAGGGAACAGAAGTTCTCTGATTAATGTGCATTAAATGAACCCTGTGTTTGCTATATTTGTCTTATGTTGGTCTGAAATTGTGTGGGGTAGCTCTTGACCTGAAGGTTGAAATTTAGGACCAAATGAGAAGTCCTTTTGATTTTTTTGATTTTTTTTAAAAATAACTTTCATGTATAAAGATGAAAGGTTGACTGAATTAATAAGTTCCAGAATAACAATCAATGTTTGGCACAGAATTACTACAACATTAGGTCTGAACTACATTCAGAATTAGCTTTTAGTAAATATTCAGCAAAATGATATGGAGAATAAAGTGCATCACATTTTATTCTTTTAAGATAATATTTTGAATTTTTTTTTGCCAAGATTAACTTGGACTTATTAGATGAGGTGTGGTTGTGCATAGGAGATTATATCTTGGATGTTTTCATATAATCATTGTTATCAAAGAATTGTGGCTTCTGAGAAATCATGATATATCTCTACCATTCTGTCCTAGAGACCCAGCATAATCTTAGCTGACCCAGAGTTGAAAGCTATTACCACATCCTCCTGCCTTGTCTGCCAAATTTCTTGTAGCTGCGTTGTTAAAATAATCTCAGGTCAGTGAGGTGTACTAGTGCCTGAAGAAAAAATGACCAGAGAGCACGGAGAGATCATGTTTCTGATTTCTGTGAAGTCTCTTCTTTCTTGACCTTTTCTATTTTAGTATCTTTTCTAAAACTTGGTAATAATCAAATTTTGAAGAGCATTAATCATATTTCTATGGAGAAGTACTATGCTCTTTTTGCATGCTCAGAAATAAAATAAGCAAGAACTCAGATTCTCCCAGAAATGATATATGCTGCAACATAACAATAACACAGGAAAAATTAGCAAAGCGAGTCACATTTCTCATTCCAATGTCTGGAGACCCTGGGGTTCTTTGAGAGAGGAGTCCTTCAGTTTTGCTCGCTCATGTCTGGCCAGGAAGATCAGAGAGCAGCCAGTGGTACCCTGATCCCAAAATGTTGGTTTGGTGCTCATTAAGGGTATAGTCAGTCTTTGGTTTGGGGTGGGCCCAAACCAAAGAGAAAATTTAAACAGATGTTTTGTCTTTTTCTTTTCAAAATTTCAGTGTGTGGGTTGAGTTTGACACTGATTGGTCTTCAGAGGCGAGAAAAAAAGAAACATTTACTTGTCTGGAAATTCTCTGACTCACGGTCTCTCTGTGAAGGAAGTAAGTATTTGACATCAAGTTCAAGTCATGTGAGGACTCTGAGATAGCAGGTGCAAGCTGCCCACTGTGGCTGTGACACTTGGCCCTGTCCCAGCTAGTGTCGCCGCATACTTTTATAATGTCCTCGGACTGGTGAGATCATATATATATGGAGAGAGAGACAGGCAGGAAAAGAGAGACCAGTAGGTCTCCGTGACCCATAAAACAAGCCGTAAAACACAATCAAGCTGAAAATGTTGAGATATACTTGAACAACTGCATTATTGATATAAGGGCACAGTATTTTTTTAAAAAATGTATCTTAAAGAATATGTCCACGAAGAAACTGTCATACATGCAAACAGTGGAGCTGTGTTAGTGCTTACTAGAACGTTCAGGGCTGGGCGAGGCTCTGTGAAAGACAGCACGTGCTCTGAATCAGATGTAATGCAGGGCACAGAAACACATGAGACTGGCCTACTGTGACCACCCACTGAGTCACAGGTAGATGAGGGCAAAAGATCTGTCCACGTGCTGGAGACATGAAGGTTCCAACCAAGCGCCTGGAGCCCATGGCAGTGTCTGTTTGAATCCGCATCAGGAGGTGAGGTATCTGCCCTGGAGGCTGAGGGGTCAGTGCTGGATGCCGAGGAGTCCGTAGCCGGAAGCCAGGAGGCGATGCCCAAGGCCCAGGTGAAGGCAGGAGCTCCTTTACAGCCAAAGCTCCTTCAAGGAAAATCAGCCCCAGCCAAGCTCTGCCAGGGGAAATCAGTGGAAATGCTTCCCTCCTGTTTTCCTTTGAAACGGTTAGGACAATGACAGTCCTTAAAATGGGTTTTCCACACCCAGAACCATGCTGCCTCGGTTCAGCTTGGTGCCCTCTCTCCGGCTGGCAATCAATCAGCCACCACAGGAACCTTATTCAGGGCTAACGAGAAATGGATTATCCAGCCACAAAAGAATCGGGAAATGTTAACTTGTATTACTAAGCGAAAGCCATTGGTCTGAAGGGGCCGTGCACTGTCTGTCCCAACCTCTATGACAGCCCAAAGAGGCAGACTAAGGATTAGGGGGCAGTGGGGGCTGCAGTGGGTTAGGGCAAAGTGGACTGAATGCTGGGGTAGACGGTGATAGAATCTGATGTCAAACCCAGTGATGGGGACTTTAGTACAGGAAGTCACTCCATGCCAGAGGACAACTGTGCAACATGCCATTTAGACACTAGATATGTCCAATAAGATGCCATTTAGGAGAAGCTAGGACTCCGAGTGACCTTGGTGTAACAATGAAGGTCCCTCGATTGGGTTGTGTTGAATGTACCATTGTAGTACAGGATGATGGCAGTGGCAGGGCCTGGGGTGTGTGTGTGACAGTCCTTACTTCTGGTGTAATTTTGCTGTAAACCTAAACATGTGGAAACTTAAAGTAACCCTACGTGGTGGGTAATGCATGTCATCTTCACCCTAACAATGAGCACTAGTTAATGCCTGCTCACTGTCCTGGGCACAGGGTTGTGGCTGAATGTCACTGGAAAGAACAGGACAGGAAGGCGAAATTATAGCTGAGTGGTCACAGAATGTATCTCCAGATAAGAACGGAGAAAGACGTCAAGTTCCTAGGCGTTATGCCGGGACGGGGTGGTCCCTAAGACATATCACGATATGCTAAAATACTGAAAAATGAAAACCCTTGCTTTCAGGTACAGTGGTTTCTCAGAAGTGTTTTTTCATAGATGCATTGTTTTCTCCATTATGGAAAAGAATGATTTTCAAAAGTATCTCCAGTGTTTCCATGGCAGATTTGACCAATATGTGCTCATTTATAGTTTGGCTGTACAATGGGATCTTATTTTTCTTTTGGAAATATGTCTTTTTTAATAGACTGTCTGGAAGGAGTTTAAAGGGAATGTGTTGATATTTAGCTCTATTAAAACAAACATCAGATGTGTTTAAAGTCCTTTTGTCAAAATCAGCGGAGATTTCATCAAGATTATTTTTGATTACAGAAAAACCATTTCATCAATATCATTCATTGTCATCAGGATCGGCCCCTGCTTTGGCTAAATTAAATACTTTTCAAAACCACAATTTAATTATTTTTGAGTCATACATTTCAAAACCCCACCTTAAGCATGGAATGGAGTCCAGATTAATTATAATAGAAAGAACCTTGGCGTGTTCCTGGGGTTCTAGCCTGAGGTTTCCCAGTTTTGTCACACGATGAAGTAATGAGAATTTCTTTGCTTACAGTTAAGATGTTTTATGTCCACGTACCAGCTCCCCATGATGAATGTAATCATTATATATTGCAAGCATGTAATAGTAAAATTAAAGGTATATAAAACACTGGCTTCTAATATTAAGAGGTAGGGCACGGCTCTGGAGTCCTGTCTCCTTGGTTCTGGGTCCTTACTGAATTCGTGTTACCTTCAGTGAGTTGCTTGGTTTCTCTACAGTTTTTCTGGGAAACTGAGTTAGCAATGCCTGCTGCAATGCCTGCTGCCGTAGAGGATTATGCGAGGCCATGCGCACACAGCACCTGCCTTGGAAGAGAGGATTCATCACAGTTTCTTATGGTCAGATACAAAGTGCGTTTGTATTCCTGTGGTTTCTTTTGACCATGCAGAAGCATTTGTGGTAGTTTATATCCTAGACTTTGCAGTTCTTCACCATAAAGAATGATACTCTTACTGTCTCATGCAGGACTTGCTTCGAGAGCTTGAATTTTTCAAAGATTTCTAGAACTCCACTCATTCAAAGTCTCAGCCCCGAGCTTGGTTGAAACCGCGTTTCTGCCTCTCATAGAGTCAGGTATTCTCTAGCAGGACTTCTAACCAGGGCGGTGGCAGAGGCTGGAAGCGGAGGAGCTGTTTCCACGCAGGCAGGCCCTGCCGCCCCGCACTCTCTCCTGATGGTGGACCTTACCTCTGCACAACTGCTCTGCCACTCGAGTCTTCTGTTGCCCATGGCTTGCAGTTCAATACCAAATCCAGTGGACGCTGACTGTGGGGTCACTGTTTTCTTCTACATATTCCTGCACCTTCTTATAGCTGCTTGTGACTTCACTGTAATTGAAGTTTTTATAGTGGGGTCTGAGCACATAACAGCAGAGAACCACAAAACTGGTTTTAAAAAGTCCACAAGACTTTGTTTTTGTGACTCATATCTCTTTTTACTTCCAGCTTAAAACAAAAAGTGAAGTTTAGAAATTTAACAGATTTACAGGAAAGTAACCAACGTTAAACAACTGTTGATTTTTGTGTATTTTATTTGCTCCCAATTTTCATTGTTTTGGTGGAAAAAGAATCATCATATACTTTTACAAACTTGATGTGTGCTCATACTATGGGCTCAACCAGTGCAGCTAAGGTGAAAGAGATTGAAAAAATTCAGTCATCATGATCACCCCAAAGCAAATGTCATTCACATTTAATATATATATATATATTTTTAGTCCTATAAATATTAAAAAAAAGATAGAAATATTTCCACAAAAATGAGATCATGTTACAGGTACAATTTTGATAAAAGTTTATATGTAATTTGAATAAGAAAACCAAATTAAATGCAGATACAAACAAATCATAAAACTTCATGTCTGTGATATATATATATATGTATATTTACATACATGGATATGCAGATACACTCGCAAGCAATACAGATAAATACAAAAGATATACATCTCACTAGCAAGCAATATTTTTGTCCTGAAAGGTTTTCCTCAGGTGTAGAAGAAGATAGTCTGATCAAAGCATGTTATAGGCGTGAAGGAAAATGTCACATGAAATTTAGTAATTTGCACAATTAATATATGTTCATAATTATAATAAAAATAGATCAAGAAAATAGGAAAAAAATGGGAAGAGGCTGGATTTTGTGCTTTTAAAAGGAATTTAAATTCTTAGCTTTAACTTTATGCAATAGCAATTGTCTCTCCTCAATAGAACTGGTCATTTGTGAATATCGTATGCAGTGTCTATCATAGCCACTGTCCCTTCAAGGGCTAAGCATCCCTTAAGGTCATTTGTCTTAGTTAATATGCTTCTCATAGGAATTTAAAAACTAATTCTACATTTTGTACTGCTACTAGGGTGTTATGGCTTATGGCTGGATGTCCCCCCAATGCCTCATGTGGTCATAGGTGGGGCTTTTTGGAGGTGGCTGCATCTAGGGTGTGTCCTGCTGGGATCAAGGATGTGGTGCTGGGATTGATTCATGGTGCAATTCAAGGATTAAGATTGCCCCTCTCTGGGTGTGAGTGCTACATGTCCTAAGGGTAGGTAGCCCGGATAACATACAAGAGACAGAAAGGGAGTCGCTGTTGCTTGTCACTAGCTGCTTGCTGCCTCCTGTCTTCTCCCTGCATATTTCTCGTCTGTGATGCACCTTTGTAATGTCACCCTGCCTTGAAACCAACCATTAACTGAAACCTCTATAAACTGTGAACTAAATAAACCTTTACTCCTTTAACTTTGAGAGTCTTGTTTTCTCAGCAACAAGAAAAGCAACTAAAACACAGGACTTTGCTATTCCAAAGTCTTCCTGCTGAATTTTTTTTTGACATTCATATTTTTCAAGTGGTTTTCTGAAGACTAATGAATTATGTATCCTCCAAGTTGTGTCATATTTAGAAATGATTGCTATTTATTGCCTTGATACCTGAATGCCATTTAAACTAATTGTAATATTAAATCATACTTCCTTTCCCTCAGAATTTTGTGTATAATATTTTATTGTCTTCTTCTATAGCATATTGCCGTGGAAAAATTTGAGGCCATGCTGTGATGTTATTCTTGTCCATGATTTACTTTAAGCTTGGGTTCATTCCTCACAAATTGTTAAAGTATATAAGTTTATAGTAACTTATAGAGTAAATTACATTCGTTTTCCAATGCAAAATTCAATTTTTCTTCATTTCAGAAGTTTCTTTTTTTATGACATCATTCATTAAAAACCTGATCCCGTATATTGCACTTTTTGGTTCATATTTGGCAATCATCCATCAATGATTGCGTTTGC